CAGGAGGGGAAGACCCTCTATGAGATGGATTGATTCGGTGACTGGGGTAATCGGGATGGGTGTGTCAGAGGCGGTGCCGTTGGCGCAGGATAGTGCAGGGTTTAGGGCTGTTGTGCGTAGGGTCGCTATGAATCGGAAACGACTCGACGACGGCACATAACAACAGGAAGGATTGGCCATCCACTTCTGAAAAAGCAGGCCTCTGAAAACCCTTTGTATCTATGTACATAACACACTATAGCAACAAAATACAGAACTCATTCTCATTGCCATTAATTGGAACTGACTCACAGCTGACCATCCAGCAAGTGTTTAGAGGTTTTAAATTGTGTGTGATTACTCATCTTTCTTCTACATAACTGCTGTTGACTTTGAGCTGCCAGAGAGGTATGGACTTTTCATAAAGTAGCATAGTGTCTTTATGAGGATGCCATCAGAACTTCCTACTAAATCACCAGAATTCCTTTTTGTAATCTTTAACTAAACTGATTACCTTTGAGTTGGAACCAACTTATAACTGGCCTTTGATTGATTTTCAGTGTGAAAGGAAATTTCCTGCACATCTTTATTCCTCAGAGCAGTTAGTAGATTTTACATGCCTACCTTTGTTGTGCCAGAGCAACTCATTATCTACTACTATTAGAGTTCTCCTTTTAAATCCTGTTCTTGTTATTGTGTGCCATCGAGCTAGAACAGACTCTCTAGTGGGTTTTCAGAGGCAGTAAATTACATGAGAGGAGATTGCCAACCTTTTTCTCACAGAGTAGCAGGTAGATCCAAACTTATTCCCTTTTGGTTGGCAATGTAGCTCCTTGCCACAGGGCCACCAGTTCTCCTTTATCTGGTCTCACTAGGTGTCAGATCAAAGGTAATAAAAACATTGCCTTACCAACTGCCACCTGGTGACAAGGATGATAAGACACTATGGAGTACCAGGGACATTTCCAATTTCAAGACCATAAAACTATGAAGAAATGAATAATTGAGATTTTTGAAGTTGCTAACTAAATTTAAAAGAAATGGATATAATGTTCTGATGACTACTATGGCATACTGAGGATTTCCTATTTTATTGAGTTTGTAAAGAAAAGACTTTACTTCACTTTCTATGTGTACTTCACTTTCCTTTCTCAGATTCATGTAGTTGAATTTAAGGGCATCCTAGAGAGATGCGTGGCATAAAAGATGGTTAGTTTTAACTAATTAGATTCTGGGGAAAGTCCTAGTGGTCAAGAGAACAGACAGTTATTCGTCCCTTTTTTAATGTATAACAATATTAAGACTAAGGTTGTGTCTCCATTTATTAATATGGAGTACTAACCGAAAGGTCAAGGGTTCAAATCCAGTAGGAGGATTGCCCTGAGTCAGAAAGGACTTGATGGCAATGGATTTAGATTTCTGGTTTAACTTAGTTGACTATGTTGTTATTTTGGTAAAATAGCTCATATGTAGTATTCTACATTTAAGTTTTCATTCTCATAAAATGCTTTCTTTATATTAGGTATTATTTTCATGACAAGATTACAGAAAAAGAAATGTATAGTAAAGGGGACTGTGGACTTGGGAGGGTTGTTTAACTATGAAATATTGTGTTGGTTTTTTTTTTCTTTTCAAAGAGAAAAATGAACTAGAAGGGTGGGCAGGGCGGAAGATATGCAACAATAAATGAGTGGGGGAAGATTAAATGGCAAGAATAAGCTGTGAAAAATGAAAAAGGGAGAAATTTTGTTTCCATACAATTTATTTACATTGTATTTCATTCATGTACATTGTTTTATACAAGCTTTTATTTACATTGTTTCATACAATCATTCATACACATTGTTTTATGTAATTACTATTGATCTATGTATACCTATTTACCACTGTGTCTTTACAAGTCCCCATTGAATCTTTAAAAAGTAATAAAAATTTAAAAATTAAAAATATAAATAAAAAATAAAATTATCATGAAATCTAAAAAAAATGCTTTCTTTAACCCAGATGTTGTTGTTATGTGTTGTCTGGTTGGAGCCAGCTCATAATAGCTGACCCTCCATCAGATTTTCAGAGGTTGTAAATTGCATGGGAGGATATTGTCCATTTTTGTCCCACAGAGTAGTGGGTTCAAACCACGTGCCTGTGGATCAGCAGCAATTCCTCACCCACAGCTATTTCTTTGTTACCATCTTATAATACACAGAAAACTACAATTGCATAGAAATTAATCTTTTTACAGTGTCTATTCTTTATAGAGTCCCTGGATAGTGCAATAAGTTAATGCACTTAGGTCCTAATTGAAAAGTTGAAGGTTGAAGCCCACCCAGAATGAAGACTTCGTGATTCTGTTCAAGAAAATCAGACAGCAAATGCCTTTGGGATCACAGTGCTCTTCAGAGGGTCACCATGAGTCTCAACCTGTTCAACAGCAATTAATCTCTTCATGCTAATTTTTCTTTACACTTATGGAGAAGTATACAAATGATTTTTTTTTCTTTTTTAAGGTTACTTCCTCAGAATGTTGGCCTTCTCTATGTTGGAGGTTATGAAAGACCCTTTGCACAAATCAAGGTAGGATTTTTCATTTTTGGTGTGCTTTTCAGACATCTAGATCTGTAATTTAGAACTCCCTAAAAACTTACTGAGTTTAGCTTGATGAAATAACCATTAACATATCAAAACTGACAAAAATTTTGTGAATGTGACAACAGCTATTCCATGCTATTTAAATTATTTTACATTTTCTGGAATTTTATATGTCTGGATATCAATAATATAGAATTTTAGCCTTTTGCTTCTTTAACCCAGAAAAGTTGTTTTAAGATTCATTGATACTGTTGCACTTTTCCTTTCCTTTTTTTGCTGAGTAATGTTCCATCCAGTAGCTTTCTCTGTTGATAGGCAGGTGAATTATTTCTAGGTATAAATAATTTGGGCACGATTTTTTTTTAATTAATTTTAATGAAAGTTTACAGAGACTTAGGGTTTCCAGTCATTCACTGTTGCACTTTGCTCCCTGTCCACTCCTCCCCCCCAATTAACTCTTCTTCTTGAAAAGAAAAAGAAAAACTCTTTCATTGTTATGTAATCCTTCCCCCCACGTCCACTCCACTATATAGCCTTCATTCTGGACTTGTCTATTGACAAGTATTTCCGATCATATATCCCTTTTAAACAGTCTTCTCTCTTATCTGTTTCAATGCAATATACATAATTTCTCCCCTCCTTTTCTGTCTTACCTCAACCCCGATGTCAGTCCCGTTTTACAACAGTGGCCCTATGCAATATTCGTCATTTTATGACTGAGATATTTCACTCAGCATAATGTCTTCCAGGGTCATCCATTTCACATATTTCATGAGTTCCTTGTTTTTCAGTGCTGCATAGTATTCCATTGTGTGACTATACCAGAGCTTCTCTATCCATTCATTTGTTGATGGGCACTTGGGTTGTTCCCAGCTCTTTGCTATTGTGAACAAAGCCACAGTAAACTTAGATGTGCACATATCTGCTTGGGTGGCAGTTATGGTTTCTTTAGGGCAAATTCCCAGTAGTGGAGTTGCTGGATCAAATGATATTTCTATTTGCCACTTTTTGAGAAAGCTGGGAACAAATTTTTATATGAGAAATATTTTTCATTTTTTTTAAGTTTTAGGAGAAAGACTAGGCCACATGATAGTTATATAACTTTTTTACAAAGCTACCAAACTGTTTTCAGAAGTTGCTCTTCCATTTGACATTCCCAACAAGCAGTTAGAGTGCACCAATTCTTCTATATTCTCACCAACAATTGATATGGCCAGTGTATTAAATGTTGGCTTTTCTAAAAGGTGTATACTGATATTTCTTTATGATTTAAAAAAAAAAATTTAATATTAATTTCCGTGAAAATTTACAGTGACTTTGGATTACTATTCATTCATTGTTGCCCTTTTCTCCCTGCTCACCCCTCCCGCTTCCAGTACACTCTTCTCTTTGAAAAGTAAAAGAAAAATTCTTTCATTGTTTTACAATCCCTCTCCCCAGGTCCACTCCACTATGCAGCCTTCGTTCTAGACTCCCGTCATGACAAAAATACCTAATCACATATCCCTTTTAAACAGTTTTCTCCCTCATTTGTTTCAGTGCAATATACATTATTTATCCCATCTTTCTCAGTCTCCCCCCAGCCCCGAAGTCAGTCCTGTTTTACAACAGTGGCCCTATGCAATATTTGTCCTTTTGTGACTGAGATATTTCACTCAGCATAATGTCTTCCAGGGTCATCCATTTTGCATATTTCATGAGTTCCCTGTTTTTCAATGCTGCATAGTATTCCATGGTGTGAATATACCAGAGCTTCTCTACCCATTCATTTGTTGATGGGCAGTTGGGTTGTTTCCAGCTCTTTGCTATTTGCAAACAAAGCCGCAATAAATATGGGTGTGTGTATGTGTTCTTGGGTGGCAGTTATGGTTTCTTTAGGGGAAATTCCCAGTAGTGAATTGCTGGTGTTTCTATTTGCAACTTTCTGAGAACGCGCCATACAGCCTTCCATAGAGGTTGCACCATTTTATACTCCCACTGACAGTGAATAAGGGTTCCAGTTTCTTTACAACCTCGCCAGCATTTGCTGTTCTGTTGAATTTGATATTCTTACTGGGGTGATGGTACTCATGGTTGTTTTGATTTGCATCTCTTAGAGCCAGGGATTTTGAACATTTCTTCATGTGTTCATTTGCCATCTGAGTTTTTTTAATAACTAATAATGTTGAACATCTCTTCATGTGTTTATTTGCTATCTGTAAAAATTACTCAAATCTTACCATTAAAATGTGTTTAAAAAATTATTTTTGAGAGTGTGATGTGTGTCTAGGTACTTTGCAAGTATTTTCCCTTAGCTATCACTTACCTTTTCACTAACTTAATAAACTCAAACTCATTGTCACTGAGTCAGAACCAATTCATAGCAGACCTTCCAGAAGGTTTGCAGAGGATGTAAGTCACATTGGAGGAGATTCCCCATCTTTCTCCCTAGAACCAGCTGTTGGATTAAAATCCTCCTGCCTTTAGGCTGGCAGCAAAACTCTGTACTCACTAGGCTAGTAGGGCTTTCTGTTTACTTTACGGTGTCCTTAGTATTTAGAAGTTTAGTTCATTTTTTTACAATATATACTTTTGGTGTTATATTTAAGAAATAATGCCTATCCCAATATCATAAATATTTTTCTCCAGATAATATTCTAAAGGTGCTGCAGAAGGTCAAGGATTGCAGCCTTCAATATAGATTGAAGCTCAACATTAAGAAAACAAAGATTCTCATCACTGGACCAGTTGACAGTATCAGTATGGATGGTATAGTGATTGAGATATCTAACATTTTTAGTTTGCTTCACTCCACAGTCAACACTCTTGGTACCAGCAGCCAGGAAATTCAAGAGAGGAATTACACTGGGAAAGCAGCTGTCAGGGACCTCTCCAGAGTACTTAAGAGCAAGCAACATCAGACTGGAGACTAAGGTGCACCTGATCCGGGCTGTAGTCTTCACAGATTGCATGCTATGCATCAGAGAGCTGGACAGTGAATAGGGATGATAGAAAGAGAATTGATGCCTTTGAGCTGTGGTGCTGGTGAAGAGTGTTGAATCTACCATGGACTGCTAATAGAACAAACAGGTTTGTCCTAGAGAGGGAGAAGCTGGGCTGCCCCTTGGAGTCAAGGATTCTGAAGCTTCATCTGACATACTTTGGGCATGTTGCCAGGAGAGACCAGTCCTTGAAGAGGAGAGTGGAGAGACAGTTCAGGAGAGGAAGACCCTTGGTGAGATGGATCAATTCAGTGATTGGGGTAGTAGGAGTAGGTGTGTTAGAGACAGTAAGGTTGGTACAGGATAGAGCAGGGTTTAAAGCTCTTGTACATAGCGTCACTATGAGTTACAAGGGACTCGACAGCACATAACAACAACAACATCATAGGTTAAAGTTTTGCTGTTAGATTCATAATCCTTTTGAGTTGATTTTTTTATGTGGTTGAAGGTATTGATTGATAGCTTTTTCTTTTGCACATGGTTGTGTAGTTATTACAAGCTATTTTTTTTAAAAAAATAAAAGACAAACCTATCATTTCACTCGTTGTGAAAGGAATAGGTGCAACTTGGGGGTGGCCAAGTCTCACTTCTACTTGCTTCATGAAAGGGTAGTGTCTCCATCAATATTATCCATAACTCCATACATACATAGACATGCCACCTCACATGCTCCTGCACTGAATTAATCATTGCATCTGATGTTTAAGACTCACAGTTGTGGAATTTATTTGAGAAATTAGTTAGTTAGTTAGTTAGTTAGTTAGTTAGCTATGATTTCATTATTTATTAGAGAAAGTTGCACGGTGGTGAAGGCAAAGTATAGTTTGCAATTCAAGTCTAGGTTTAGTCCAGATTAACAAAGCACAATTTCTCAAGTAGTGAAAATCCAGGTTCAGTTCAGCAGCACAAATGCAAGAAGCCTCTGCCTTCCTCAGTCATCAAGGAGGAAATAAACTTTAATTATGACCTTTATCTCCAGAGTTTCTCTGGATACACCTTGTCACAGTCTCATCACAGCAGGGCCAATATTTTCACCCCCTCTCCAACACCATTATTGCCTTTTAAAGTGTGGAAAGCTCTCTCTTTCTTGATGATTTGCAAGACTATGTTTCTACAGTTAAGGTAGCTAGAGAACATGCCCCCACAATGGGGTCTAGCGCAATGGCTAGAAAAGCCCATTTTCAAGGGTTCAGACACCCTGTTCATTTATATCTTTTTGGAAATCAGTTTGCCGTGTATATGTGAGTCTGCTTCCAGACTTCTTACTCTATTCGGTTACCCAATGTGTTTGTCCTTTGAACAAAACCACATTGTTGATTACTATAGTTTTATAAGTCAGTAAAATTAGGTAATATAAATCCTACAGTTTTGTGTTTTTGCAAAGGTATTTATATTAATCTAAATTAATTTCTGTATTAACTTAGGATTGGTTTTCCAATGTCTGAATTTTAATGTGTGATTTTAACTGGGATGCACTGAATCTAAAATGTTTTATATTATAAGTAATATTTTTACTTTTACTTTGTGGTTGTTCATAAAAAAGTATAGTGTGTGTGTATATATAGATATAGATAGAGATAGAGATAGAGATAGATATAGATATAGATATAGATATAGATATATAGATATATAGATATAGATATATATAATTGCTTTTCTATGAGGTGTTTTGAATTCTGCCATGTTGGTGTTGCTAGAGAGTTGGAATCTACCCATAGCTGACCCTCCAGCAGGGTTTCAGAGGCAGTTAATCGCATAGGAGGAGATTGTCCATCCTTCTCCAGCAAAGCAGCTGATGGCCTAAAACTGTATGACTTTGGTATTGTTGCACAGTTTCTTCTCACTAGGCCACCAAACCTCCCTTACTGTTTTCCGTTATTAGTTCTCATGATTTTTTTTCATTCTGGATTTTCTATAGAAATGATAGAAAGGATTTACTGAAAAGAAGGTGATCTTGACCTTGACCTTTGACCTTGAGTCTGGGGAAATAACCCTTGGGGTAAC